GTTTTATTTTGACTCTATATTTTGGAACAAGCACTGATGGCGAAACCGAGACGGACGACTCCTGAGGTTTCAAAAGTGCCTCAACTACCTCTATATGAATCAAATGAATAGTATTTTGACTTTTGATTTTATCGTTGACTTTGACGAAACCGATAAAGATCCTTCGTCACGCCTATCTATTTCTGAAGTCTGAATCCAGTTCAGATTCGTCTGAAATCGTGCCTGGGCGTGGTAAATCATCTGGCGTTTTTTTATACGTCTAGTTCATTGTTTCCTTTTTTTATTAATATGTCTGTAGACCGCCCAGACCTCCTACAATCTGTTTTAATTTTTTAATGTCATTCTAATGTTAGATATATTAAAAATTCTGTCTATACTTGTCGAGTGAATTTTTAATTTGGTATTTAGTTCCTTTTCTGTGTCTATCGTTTTAATTTGCATACATTATTTATTTGATTTAATTTTATAGACTAGTCTGGTTAATAATAAATAGCTTTTCAAGTACGACTATAGAGGCTTTAAATAAGATTCTCGAACTGGGAGAAGTACTTATTATTAACATTTCAATATTCTAAATCCTTAGTAATTGCACAGAAACTGGAACTATTCCTAGTGTTACAAGATGATGTAATACGTAATAATGTATCATGTGTAAGTTCATTGCGAGCTAACAATTTTTTTTTTTTTTTTTTATTTATTTATCAAGGACAACAAACAGCAGTATATTAAATATAACACGGGTGAGTAAAATAATAGATTTAACAAATACACTCCTCACGACGTTGCCACGGATTACCATAAATCTACTTAGCAAACACAATGGGGCAAACTTGAAGCTACAAACTATACAAACATAGGATACATATAAATTACAGAATTACTTTTTACCTGTACCTACCTATTACATATTTTTACCTACCTATATATTATATTTTTTTGTGCACTATATGAATGTGAAACACAAATAACATGTAAAAAAAAATTAAAATTAAAAAGTCTGGAGTCTATTAATACTATTAATATAGTAGTTTTATAGTGGTTGTTCTTTTAAAATGTTAATGATTCGTTGTCGAAAAGTGTTCCTGCTTAGAAATAAAATATCAATTGATGCAAACCTTTTATTATAAGTGTCAACCAATCGATGCATGGGTGAGCGTGCGCCTGAATTGGTATGACGGAGATTAGTTGCAAACATGTTCCGTGAACGCACCTCTCTGCTGTGTACTGAGCGAGGGACCAGGTAGCACAAACCATTCACAAGATCAGAACAGTCAAAGTTGTTGCGGCATATACTGAAGAGGGTCATCATTTCAAGGAGTGTGCGTCTAGATTGCAGGGACAGGATATTATATTTTTCAAGCAATAATTGGTAGGAAAGTCTTTTACGGAAACATCTGTAGTGCATCGCACGGAGGTATTTACGCTGGACTAGTTCCAGTATTTCTACGTATTTTTTGTAGAAAGGATTCCAAATAGGCACTGCGTACTCTAGTTGTGGCCGGATAATTGACTTATACAGATATAAATAAGTGGAAGGGCGGTGGAATTCTCTAGATGCTCGCATTACAAAACCGAACATTTGGTAGGCTTTATTGATTATTTTATTCACGTGCGCATCGAGATGAAGCTTGGAGTCTAACTGGACTCCAAGATCGCGTAGACAGGTAACTTTTCCTAATTCAGTGTTGCCAAAATGATAATTAAATTTGGTTACTAGTTTCTTTTTTGTAAACGTAATACTATGACATTTGGAAAAACTAAGCTGAAGTTTGTTGCAAGAGCAGTATTCTAAGAAACGATCAAGGTCCATCTGAAAATCAATACAGTCAGATTGATTGGTAATATTTTTATAAATCTTTAAATCGTCTGCGTAAAGGAGAAATTTAGAATTCTTAAAACAGGAATTAATGTCATTAATAAATATAATGAATAACAATGGTCCAAGAATGGATCCCTGTGGGACTCCCGATGTCACCTGAATAAGACTGGACTCATAGCCATTTATTACCACTTTTTGAGTCCTATTGGTGACATAAGAAGCAAACCAACGCAGCAGGTTTCCTCTAATGCCATTAAAAGCAATCTTGTCAAGTAATAACCTGTGGTCAACTTTGTCAAAGGCCTTCTGGAAATCAGTATATACCGCATCAACCTGCTGCCTATTATCAAGGCTGTTAAATAAATGTGACGTAAAAATGAGGAGGTTACTCACGCAGGACCTATCCCTTACAAACCCATGCTGTTCTTTTAATATCACATGGCGCAAGACGGGGTAGATCTCGTTATGAACCAGTCTCTCGAAAAGTTTTGACAGTGCCGACAACAGAGAAATCGGCCGATAAGTAGACACGTCATCTTTTGAGCCGGACTTGTGGATCGGGATAATATTAGCACATTTCCAGATCTGTGGGAAGGTACCACTAGAGACACATTTATTAAATAATAAGTGTAGTGGAACGCATAGTGTATCATAGGTATTTTTCAAGAAAACCGCGGGAATACCGTCAGGGCCAGGTCCTTTGGATGCATCTAATGATTTAAGTTCACTTTGAATCTTGTCTACAGAAAATTGTAAACTGCAGATATTAATATCATTATCGGAAGTAGCGGGTGGTGGTTTCCATGAATTATGGTTGAATGTAGAGGGTTCATATACTGAATGGAAGAAATCAGAGAATAAATTACAAATCGTAGTGGGATCATTCGAAGATTGTTGTTGGTAGTATACTATGGGAGGAATCTTATTGCTGGATTTACGGCTAGACACAAATGACCAAAATGCTTTGACATTGGTAGACACGCTATCCTCTACCGTATTTATATATTTCTTATAGCAAGAGGCGACATCTTTTTTAAATTTTGCTCTATACATAGAAAATAATTCATAGTCGTTAATATTTTTGTATTTTTTCCATCTTGTCCATGCGTGGGATTTTTGTCTCAGTAAATGCATTAAAGATTTAGTGAACCAGTTCGGAAAGTTATAGTTTTTAGATTTGTGTATGGGGGTATGCAACTTTATTATTTCATACATTTTTTCGTAGAATATAGATACGGCTTCCTCGGGGGGTAATTCCTCTAGGAGACCACGCCAGTCAACGCCTTTAATTTTGGAATTAATTTCAGGATAATTAGACTTATGATAATTAAGTGGATTTCGGCTGATATATTTAGGTGAGAATGAGGGTTTTCTAAAAGGTATTAATGAACAGAAGACTGGATGGTGGGAATCAATGGGAAGGAGCGAAATATTTGGAATATAAGTCACTACGTGTGTGTTGCAGAATAATAAGTCTAGGATGCGCCCGTTACCGTTAATAGTACTATTATATTGGTTCATATCGTGTAGTGAGCAAAACCCTAGAAGATGACGACTTATATTAGAATATGTGTTGTTCACGGCACACGTCATATGAGATGTGGAGTCAATCCAATTGAGCTCGGGCAGGTTGAAATCTCCCGATAAGACTACGCATTCGATGGAAGGATCGTCAATTAAAACATCCAGTGAATCAATAAAATGAACATAAATATCCTCTGTTGTATTGGGAGGTATATATGTGGCACAAAGTAGTATATATTTATTATTATAAAATGGGATTTTGGTTATTATATGTTCAGGTAAAATTAATGGGGGTGACAATGTGAGACATGATGAATTTAGGGCCTTAGATATCGCTATTAAGACGCCACCTCCGTCTTTTTTATTAGTGACGGAACGATTACGGTCGCATCTATATACATCATAACGGTGATCTATAAATTCATTCTCTGAAATATCGGGCGTCAACCACGTTTCAGTTAGGATGATAATATCGTATGAGTGAGACAGTATGTTAATGTACAATGTATTCAGTTTGGTCCTGATCCCTCGACAGTTCTGATAATAAATACATATGTTATTACCATCGACAGCCATTGTAAGTGCATGGAAATATGATAAGATTAACTTTCAAAATATAATTTAAAAGGTTTGCATTTTGTTTTAAACGGAAAATAATTGATTGCCTACAACACAAACACGTTTTCAGATGTAAGACAACGACTAAAAATACTCTGAACATTAAAATTAGCTGATTTACAATAACAAAATACACATATGAGCACCCAGGCAAGCAGCTTATATAGTCGTATAAAAAAAATAAATTAATATGCTCTAGGTACCCGACTGTGAAGTAAAAATAAATAAATATGAAAACTATAAATCTCATACAAAGTAAGCCATATACAAAACTTGAACAACCCACGGAAAGCGAAACACACATCCCAACAAGCAAATACAATTTTGAAAAAACATTAGTCATTACTTTTAGAATCAGAAGTCTGAAAATTAGGCTTAATCTTACTAGATATTTCGTCCTCCGAGCGAATGGCGAAAGCAGAAGAGGCTTCAGATTCCTTGACCAGGACAGTCGCGTTTCTAATCCAAACGAACTTAAAATTGTTGAGATTGGCTGCTTCGCGGCATTTACGAAACAAATTTTTGTTTCTCAATGTCAAGTGTTCATTTAGGTAGACGCGGGATGAAGTCCCTGTGAGGCCGATGCGGTTAGTAGTTAGTCTCTTCGATAGCCGGTATGCCTTGAGAAGATTATCCCGCTTTATCCGATAAGTAAATTTAACTATAACGTTTTTAGGTCGACTGGCCTGCGCATGAGCATGCGGAACGCGGTGGATAGATATAAAATCGCTAGGGGCTATTGAGATATTGACTGCCGAGCATATTGACTCAAGCATAGAGATTAGGTTCTCACCTCGCTTTTCAGGCAAATTTGCAATTTCTATGTTACATTGTCGTGCCTGCTGTTCAAATGCATCAAACCTTCCTTCGAAAATTTTCTTAGCAATGTCGTCAGAGTCGCCCCTCCTCGATTCCAACTCCTTCAGGCGCCTATCACAGTCTGCGTAATTAATAAAGTCAAAATTCACTGAAGACTTTAGATCAGCCACTTCCCGCGAAATTTCAGTATATTTACTGTGCAAGTCTGAAATATAATTTAATTTCTCATTTCCAGTTTCATCGAACAAGACAAAGTGTCCGGCTTTTGGACATGGATGTTCGTGTTATCGAAGTTGCCGGAGTTAGGCGACACCGTATTCATAGTTCTACGTAAGAAGCCCCTAATCTTCTTGCACTGGTACCACCACATCACCGTCCTGCTATACACCTGGTACTCCTTCACGGAATACACGTCCTCGGCGCGTTGGTTCGTGGTGATGAACTACTGCGTCCATAGGTGAGTGACTACTTTATTCTCTTTAACTTTTTTGTGTGATTGTAATGCACACCGATGTTTATGTGGGAGGAATGTATTAAAAAACAAAGCTGCTAAGACGTTTGTCTGTTGTTGATGAACTCGTTATAGTTCTGAACAGATTATATACGATTTGGTTAATTGATAAACTGATTGTTCAGGAAGATTTGAGTAGCACAAGTGAAATTGCAAGCGGAAAGCAACGTTAATGTACAAGTCTGATGTCATCGCTCTTTATATCTTTGTGAACCACGGAATCTTTAGTTCTTGTCCCATTTGAGACACTACACTTACTGGAATTAGATCATTTTGTAGCAGTAGAACAATAGTTTGGACAATTTCAATTCATTGCCAACACAAAGACCTAAGCCACTTAGATAATTATTGTCTCGTATTACAAACCAATCAATTAAATAAATGTCAAACATATTGTAAATCTATACTGCCTAGTTGATGATTAATTACTTCTTTGATGGACCTTTTGTTTACCCAATTGAGTAATGAACGTTAGGGCGTGTCCAAACACCGGCTTCATTGTATAGAATGGCCGTAATGGCTGGGAATTGACATCTATGGCTTTATATCGGAACTGTGGCAATCTAAATTGATTGAACACTATTGTAGCTTCTTGGCACTGAAGTAGCATTCTCGTTTAACTGTGTTTCTATTAAAAAACAAACATAACACCACGCCTTTTATCCCCGAAGGGGTAGGCAGAGGGGCACATTATGCCACTGTACAATGTAACACCCAGTTTTCACTATTCGTGTTATGAGTCCCATGTAATAGGGGGTGAGCCTATTGCCATATACCGGGCACATTTCCAGACTCCGTGCTACTACTGAGGTTTTTACAAACCCAGTAATACTTTGCCCGACCCGGGATTCGAACTCGAGACCCCTTGCCCGGCAGTCGCACTTGCGACCACTCGGCGAACGAAGCAGTCTATTAAAAAAGGGATCTTTAAATAGTTGATATGTATACTAAATTTCATCCGAATCCGTTGAGTAGTTTTCGCATGATTGAATAACAAATACCTAAAATTTACATTTAATATCAGTGGGATGGAACCATACTTTTCTGTATTCGCAAATCCATATCATAAAAAACTTCTGATCGGCACTACCAGTCGCCATTTGCAATTTGGTATCGTCCCACACGAGCATCGGTATTAAACGAAGTGATATGGATGGCCTGTATTTCTATAGAGCCGATAACATCTAAATTGGACGAATTAGTTCTAAAGGAAGTCTATAAATTGGTCTAAACCTTGAAGCGTTGGGCTAGATTCACAGGTCACTTATGATTCACAGAATTTACACTACCTATAGTAAAATATGTAATGTTGTCTTGTCTTATCTAGTTACTATTATGTTTTATGTTAAACTTGGTTAGTAAAATAATATGTTTGCTTCAATAAACTTCGAAACAATGTTTGGTAAAAGCCAATTCATGTTTACTTACAGCAAATACATCGATATTAGGTAAATAGAACCTTATAAATTATTATGTTTTCAGCTTACTCACGTAATAATTTGACGAAGAACTCGACTAGTTTCAAGCCATGCTAGAGGCTCATATTCGCGATTTCGCGACCCGCGACGCTGCGACTCGCCAGTCGCGAAACTAGTCGAATTCCTCGTCAAATTATTATGTGACTAAGCCGAAAACATAATAATTTTTAGTATGTCTCTCGAAAGTTACAATACATAAATAGAACCTTCATCATTTTTAATTCTAGTATGTAAGTACAAATCTAGACAAGGAAAAAATCACAATAATTCCTTAGAATTACATGATAGACTCAATAGTGTATGATTTCATTCATTGATTACTGAGAAATTGTCCGTACTTATATCAGGGGTCGAAATTTTACATAACATAACATCACGCCTTTTATTACTGAATGTGTAAGCAGAGATGCTCATTACGGCAGTTAATGCCACTGTACAATGTAACACCCAATTTTCACAATTTATGTAGTCAGTCCCATGTCATAGGGGGTGAGCCTGTATACCGGGCACATTTCCAGACTCCGTGCTAATACTGAGATTTTTTTAAACCCCAATAGACCAGGAAATCGTGTCCCTTGCGAAGCCGTACAATTGCGACCACTCGGCTAACGAGACAGTCAAACATTAAACAGCAGTAAAACTTAATTAGACAAAAAAACAACGTCCTTCGCTACGTCATTGATTAAGAAGTAACACTTCACTGAACATTAATATAAATAATGCAGGTGTACTATCCACCTGTCCATTACTCGGCACTTTAATGTAACTGAATGACGACGCCTTTTCGTCACCATTCATCCCAAACCCTTCTTCAAGTTCTTACAAAGGTATTAGTTACAACCAGATTAATGAATCGAAAATGATTGATTGGTTTGCAAAAACAAATGGATTAAAACTAAATGTTCATGTAATAAATCAAAATACGATAGTTAATCGTAAATCTTAGGCGTGGTTGCCTATCTTTAGGTACCTACGCAAATAATATACTTTTAGGAAAATTGCAATTCATTGAATTGCAGCAAGATAAAAATTGTTATCTATATTTATGTTTCAATTTAGGCTTACTACTTATGTAATTGGGGTCGGATTTGGAAATCTTTTGGTGTTCATTTTGTTTTTTTTTTACAACTCTCAGTAACATAGAAAATCTAGTCTACATTTGGTAATAATTAAAAAGCTAAACTATAGATATTACATTGTGTGATATTAATTTGTATGATCCAGTTATGTGAATATCAAACCATCTTTAGTTCACACGCAACTATCTCAAATTATTACCTTTAACAAAAACTGCAGTAAGGTTAACACACGTTCCCAAGTATTGAATGCTTCCTTTGAAGTATCAGCTCGTTGAAGCGACGCGTTTCGCAGAAGGCTGGCATTTGATCCAAGCAAATTGCTCTATTCATAGCCCGACCTGCAATTGTCGACGCACTAACGAATGTACTGTTATCATTTATGTACTCACATTTACCTGATACAGCGTTTACGTCAGGTTTAATGTAGGTATTATGTGTTCTAGTCTTTGAGTCTACGTTTATAGAGACTAGAAATAACTCTCATATCGTCGCTTCACAATCAAAAGTTTTTTAGAATTTTGCAAATAAACAATTGCTCATTATTACTATATTTTATAGTTTTAAGATAGATTCTCATAATCATAAAACAGCAGTATAAACTTTAATATGTATTCTTATACTATTCTTAACGAGTTTCCAACTATAATGGCTTCTACGTTCGTCAGTAATTTTACGGAGAAACAATGGACTATTAAATTATTAGAGTAATAAATACAAAAGTACAAAAAATGTATTTGCGGTAGTTATTACAGGAAAAAGACATATTAGATGACTTTAAATATTATTATCTACACAATTAAGAATAAAGTAACAAGGTGTGACTTAATTAACCATGGTCTCTGTTGTTTCCAGTGTAATGTACTCGTACTACGCGCTGGTGAGCATGGGCAAGTACCCGCCGAAGATGCTGGCGATGACCATCACGGTGCTGCAGCTGACGCAGATGATCGTGGGCTGCGCCATCAACGTGTGGGCGCACAACTACATGGCCACCACCGCCACGCCGACCAGCTGCCACATCAGCCAGATCAACATCAAGCTCTCCATGGCCATGTACTTCTCGTACTTCGTCCTCTTCGCACAGTTCTTCTACAAAGCCTACCTCTCCCCCAAAACTGGCAAGAAGGCCAAGACCGAACCAATCCCCGACGTCCCCGTCAGCAAGAAAGTCAACTACAACAACGTAAACAATGGTTACCCGCGACAGAGGAACGGCGTTGTCGCGCACTAGTCGGCGTCACCTTGTGATATGTGCTAGTTATATTGTACAGGTTATGGCTGTTATTTATTTGGTCACGATTGGCCGCGACTACCGGACACCTGTAGCCTCCCATTCCACGCAATGGAAGGCGAAACTGTTGCCAATACTTCATCCAGTGTCCGATATCCTCGCATCTACTTAGTTGTCATCGAATCCTACTTAACACTTGCATAATCCGTGATATTACCGGCAGTGGTGTCCAATCGTGGCCAGCCGACGCTAGAGAGGTCGCCTCGTGTTACATTCCACGCTAGATCGACTGTTTGCTTCCGGCCGATGCATGGCTCTTGTTATAACTGACGGTAGCTGGCGACTGACCGAATCAAACCACACGACGTAACGTAGGTTAACTAATGAGTTATATTTGAAAATGTCGATGTTGGATTTTCAAATGAAACTGTTTTAAAAATTAATATTTTAAGCGTGAGTATCGTGAGCTCATAGTTAAGCAACAGCCTAGTACGGGCTATGTACAAAATAGATGTAACTTAAATAAATACTCAATCTCTTCGAAATGTTTCAACCTTAACTAATTGCATTATTAAATTGTAGTACAAAGCGAATTAGTGATTTCGGTTTGATTCGAGCAGTCGTAGCGTCAGTAGTCCATTAATGATGGCGACCCTCGTTGTGTCACAAGTTGCTTTTATATAGGCTCTGTGTACCGATGATTTAGGATACGTGCTATTGTGGTAAAGGCTGCATCGAATTGACAGAATGTCCATTAATTAATATTATACCGTAAGTACTCAGTTTTAGAGTCGTTTGTAGAATACTGACTTCAATGTTGTAAATAATGTTTAGTGTAGCGAGATATAACTAAATATGTCACACGGGCCATTTTATTGTGTTGTATTTTTTCTAAAATTATACGGATTTTTCTAGTTGATTTGAGTACATTTGGTTTTTGTGAACTAATTTGATTAAGTTTTAAAACATAGATGCAATTTCGATGCAGTTTGGGCATGACTATGCTTAATGCAATTCGCAAATATAATTTAGTAATACTAGTTAATTAAATATGGATAATGTTCCATTACGTAAATATTATAAATTGTTAATAATTACAATCGTAGTACATATGGTATGTTTGACAAATTCATTTATAACGGGTCTCGTATTATTTTGTTCAAGATTTTATGTTTGACATAGCTTGAAATATTCGAATTTGTATTAATCTATTGATTGAAAATTGATTTTAGGGGACCCTGAATTATTTTAAGATTATTTGAATTATTCGAATCATGTAATATGTTTGGAATAATACATTCCCAGTAACGAAATGTTTGACAACTACTGTTTTAGGAATCCGTACAAATGTTTTGTTGTTTCATTAAATTTTGTACACCTTCCTAAATTATTGTTTCACCCAGACCTGTATAAAAGCTCTACTTTGTTGTTATTGTGTCGTATTTATTACTTAATGAAGAAAAGAACTTAGTGATTTTTTTAAATAATTTATTTGTAAAGGGATAGTTTTACCTACACTTTGTAAATGTTAAACGATGTTTTGCGCTTCATGTTGACCGTTGGAGTGCGGTGCGTAGGTGTAATACTTTGATATGCTTGTCAAACAAGTGCACAAAGTGTAATAATGTAATACCCGCTAGAGGAATAAGCAATATTAACGAAGAGTACCGGCTAAATTTACAGTTTAGGCGCGTTTTAGTGTACATTTCGAGGTAAATACTTTTATACGAACACACATTCTTCTCTAAATGTAGCTCTTACACTCGTAGACTAGGTTTAGGAAAGAATGTGCGCTTCCCACTACGCGCCACGGATATACGGGCGAAACAAAGTTCAAATGGACACTTCCACGCACTTACGTTAACTTGTGCGTTAACGTTATCGCGTGAAAGCTTTACAACCGACGGCATTTATGTAACGTAAACGCGGTCGTTGTGAATATATAGACTTAATTAGATTTAGTCCGCGGCGCTGATATTGGACTCATACAAATTATTATATAAGGCGTCTCTTCATGTCCAATCGCGGTGACGTTCTGATGTCAGCCTTGTGATGTGCGTTAACATAATGTCGTTTTGTCCGTTCATTAAGTACACGAAAGCTTTGGATAAACGATGGAGCGCTAAATAGCGATATTCTAACTTCACTATTACTAAATTAGTATAGATAATGCCCTGTAACAGTCCGCTAATTGACCTGTTTACGGTAAAAGGGCTCGCGTTTTTTTATATCGGTCGGGTCATAGTTGATACTAGTTGCTAGTTTAATTTTTAGTTACTAACCCGTTAGTGGCGGTTTATTGTTGAATCAAGACTATCTTCGAAACATTTGTTAAGATGGTTAAAGACTTATTTAGTCGTTCGCTGTGTGACTAGTTATTCTAGATCGATTAAAAATTAAGCTGATATTAGTATCGAGCGCGATCGGTCGCGGTACCTCCTAAGGGCCTTACAGAGTCAGTGTGCAAATTAGCATAGTTTTAGCGAAGGTCAATTTCGTCTAGTACCGATATAGAAGTCACAATTTTAATATAGGCTATTTCAAATAGGCTGTTATTTTTGTCCAGTTCATTGCTTTGTCTTAACGATGGTGAGTTCTAGGAATACTTGTAGTATTAACAGTCACTCATAAGGTGGGGAATGATTTAGATATAATCGGGTTCGGGAATTAGGGCGAACTAAACACTACGGTTGAGCTATCTAGCCTTTAATTTCGCCACCGAAACAAAGTACATTGCGAAGAGTTTATTTTGTAATATTTTTTATCACCATTTTTTTATTTATTTTCGTTGCATGATCATGTTTCTTTTACAGAAATTCAATGAAGGAGATTAATTATTATAATGCGAACTTCAACGCAGTTGGAGTATGTTATTTCAATTGTAAACGAAAAGCTATTTCGCTTGATGTCGCCCTGGTACGCTTTGTGTTATTCGACGTTCTAATGTTATCATCACAAGCAATGCAATAAAACTATTATTATAATAATATCGTCAACGAATTTACACGAAACGTAGCCAGGGTAAAATTGCAATTAATGCATAAATTTTTTTATTATTATTTGTCTTTAAAGCACTTTTGTATTCAGAATATTATTGATATATTTCTAAAACTCTTATTTCGTTATGTACCCTAGTTAAATGATTATGATGTAACCCTGTCCACAACTGAGTTGTTTCTGAGAAATGATTCAGGCCATAAATAGTTGATAAAATTGTAATCACTAACGCATTTATTATTTAATATATTGTAAAATATTTTCGCATTTACGAACAGTGTTGTAACTTAGATACTAGCGGTGTACAGCAATAAGGAAGAAATAAGAACAATATAACTTTTTAAAGTGTAAGTTCTTTTTTCTGCTGTAGTAACACTAAACATAAAAATCTATTTACAACACTGTTCACAAATATAACTGTTATTGTACATGTTCCCGGTAGAACTAATTAGCGGTTACAGTTCCATATTTCAATAAAATATTTTAATAAATATATTTTTGTGAAGGAAGTTTTGTGGTTACAACATGAACAGAACTAAAGATTATAATATAGCGACAGAGCATTGTAATCTAAAGTGGAAATATTCTTGCAATCATTCATTTGTATTTTCTGGGCAAATAAAGAGTTATGCGTAATCATTTACTTCTTTTTATTTATAAAACCAACGAATAACAATTTTTGTTCCTAATTCTGTACTGTACAGGTGCCTCTTTTTTTTTTAAGGGGGGAAAATCATCGAATGACTGCTCCCGCCTGGGTGAGGCGGGAGGGAGTGTCAGACTCTTACTGACTAAAAACAACCCCGTTCCTTCTCCTGCACGTCGAGTCGGAGCCCCGGTTACCCGTTAGGTTCTCCGCGACACTGTACAGGTGCCTACTAAATAGAGAAATAGAGTAATATACGATTAGTTTGATGTTGAAGCAGAATCTAAAATAATATTTATTGATCTGTTTACTACTTACTGTGGCTCTGGTCAACGGTGGCATGGAGAAAATTGTTCATTGAACATTTCAATACTGCGACTACGTGAATAAATTGAGGTTTTTTAAAAAATAAATGAAGTACCTACCTGCTTATCTGATAAGACGTAAAAATAACAATACCTTTCCTAAAGTCCGGTAAAAATTCTAAAGTTACATGATGCAGTGCGACTGCAATCCAATGATACCACATTTAAAATTACACAAATTCTGACTGAACGCAGCATTAGCAGCTGACTTCATTGATTTGTTGAATGTCAAACTCCAAACGTCAATTTTCTCAAAGTTGCTGTCAAAGAACTACTGTGCACGTCAATAATTCGCACTTTGTTTATAAAATTAATTCAAGTCTTCAAGATGGAATTAATTGATAATGAGATTAGGCAGTGGGATGCAGCTGATGTAAAGGAGCAGTTTGGAGACAATCTTACTTTGTTGCCGCTAAATGACAACATCAAGGAACTACAAACTATTTTACGAGACAAGTAAGGTTACTTTAGGCCTTATGGTTCGTTACCTTTGCCTGCTTTGGTTAATCTTTGAAAATATAATTATAAACCTTTTCCCTCATTTTGAAAGATACTTTACTTAAGTTTACTTTCTTTCTTTCTATTATTTTACGAAAGTACGTCAGCGGTACATGTAAATGAGCCGTGTTTTCCCAATGTGAATGTTACTCTATTTTTAGCATTATTAAAACAAGAACTCGTTTTTATCTATTTCTTGAATACTGCATTAATTACGTTTGGAATTGATTATAATGTTAATTAAAATGTAGCCTTTATGCTATTTGAGTTTTGGAACCTAGTAGTCTTTGAAGGTCTGACAATTTTAACCCCTAAAATTACATCAACAATAACAATGACTTATCTTCAATCAATAACATTTTGACAGATTACTGATTAGAATACAAGGAAATCATGAGTATTATGTTTACACAATACAGAAATTTTAAGAGTTTAAGGATATTCAAATTGTGAGCCATTGATGCAAAATATCAATTTTATTTACTACATGCAATTGTTAATTTGTACATCTTATTCAAAAATTATTATTTTAAATATGAAAGTTTCTTAGTGAAAAATATGAAGACCTAAATAGTCTTTAGACTATTTTTATTAGTTTTCTTAAAAACTACTATGAAATGTTAAAACAATCACATTTTCAAAGTCAAAGTATGTACAATTTATTACCCTTTCTATATTTGGGTTCTACTTATTCATATTATACTTGTTCATTTTTAAGAAATGAGTAGGTATGCTATTTAATGCAAAAAATTGTGACATCATAAAAAAGTATTGAATTTTGAGAACTTGTAAAATTATCTTATCACCTTTTTATTTCTAATAAATAAAAAATATCTAAGTACCTAAAATTAAAAATCAAATCTTAAAAATTGCAGAAACACATCTAGAAGTGACTTCAAGTTCTATGCAGACCGCCTGATCCGTCTTGTGATTGAGGAGAGTTTGAACAAACTACCATTCACTGACTGTGAGGTGGTGACTCCTACTGGAGCATTGTATAAAGGACTTAAATATGGTGCTGGTAACTGTGGAGTGTCCATCGTCAGGTCCGGAGAGGCTATGGAGCAGGTTTGTTGTTATATATTTGAGATAAATAAAGGATAATGAATGCCATGCACATGTCCTGATGCTGTGCTGGAATACTGTTCACACATTTAACTCGTCGAGTACCGGTTTTGTAGACACAATTATAGAACAATAGGTTGCGGTCACCGGTGACCGCTTGGTGTTTGACAGTTTAATAGAACTGAACAGTTTGTTAGTTTATTTTAACACACTAATGATAACAAACAACTCAACTAGGTTTGGCTTGAAATTCATCCCCTAAATTTGTTCATACAAAAGTAGTCTCAATACATTGGAAATAAGGTCTATAATGTAGTTAGTGGAGAGCGGTCACCGGTGACCGCTTGGGGATGTACGGGTTAACTTGTTAATGTCTGCTTATGAAAAATCCGAAACATTTGTTCATACAAAAGTAATTTCTAAACATCAGAACCAAGGTCTAAGATTGTGTAAATGAAGAGCGGCCACTGGTAACCGCTTGGATCTAGTTTAATATGGTCTTTTGAAAGTCATGTTGAGGAAGGCTGTCATGCCATATTAAAAACAAAATATTTTGTCACAGATAAAATAAAAGTACATTACATACATAAATTACTATTCACTTTTATGAATATTTCTCTTTACATTTCCAGGGTCTCCGAGATTGTTGTCGTTCAATCCGTATTGGTAAAATCCTGGTCGAGAGTGATACGGACACACACGAGGCTCACGTGGTCTACGCCAAGTTTCCTGAGGACATAGCGCGGAGGCAGGTCCTGCTAATGTATCCTATCATGTCCACCGGCAACACTGTAAAACAGGTGAGGTGTTAATAATATTTTTGAAATGGTTGTTTATGGCTATGGTAATGATGGTGTCTTTGATGTGGGTCAAACAAAATCCAGTTCCACAAAGTTATTTATTGCACATAATTGTGACTAAAAGCTAATCTAAATTGCTTTATACATATTAGGTACATAGCCATATTTTATACATCTTCTATAGTCAATGAATGGTAGCAAATGCGATTACTGAGTACTGAAGAAGGTGTGTCTAGTTTAATTCCAGCCAGGGTCGAGAGCCGATTATTATTGGGTTTTTTCGCATATTTGATATTTGTGGAGTTAAGGATTATAATATAAGTCTGGTAATAGTGAATCAATTACATTTGATTCTCTTTTAACAAAAGTTAGTCTCGCATGGTATACATACAATGTTCACGTGCACTGCAGTATTCCTCTTCGCTAAGTACCGTTTAATCGGTGCTAATTACCATTGAAAGACGGTGGCATTAGCTTTGTTTTGTTTTTTATTTAAAACATTGCTCCACTCTAGGATTTTATCCTGTGTCGTGGGTGCGTTTACAAACATACAAGTTCACATACACATGCCACCCAGACCCGGAACAACAATCTGTGGATCAGACAAAGAGTTGTTTCGTGCGGGAATCGAACCCGCTACATGTTGTGCGGCAGCCAGTTGCCCACACACCTTTTTTTAATAAAAAAGAAATTGTGATTACCAAACTTTGATATCATTTCCAGGCAGTGAACGTATTAACCCAGCACGGTGTGAAAGAAGAAAGGATAATCCTCTCGAATTTGTTCTGCACCCCGGCAGCCGCCCAGGCAGTAGTCGACTATGTACCAAAAATGAAGATGCTAACTTCTGAACTACATCCTGTAGCTCCCAACCATTTCGGGCAAAAGTACTTCGGGACAGACTGATATGAGGACGAATTTGAGTTCTAATCTGTACTTATTAAAGTTTAGTTTACTTTGTTAGTGTAGCCTTATTTTGTTTTGTTTCTATAGGCTTAAGATACTTAAGATACTACAATTTAGGTAGTAGGTAGTGAATTATTTATTCTATAATCAACTTTTGGTTGTATGCAATAAGCGTTGTTTTTGATTGTGCATTTATAGTAAAGCATTTTATATATTTCTTCTTTATCTTATATGTGTTGCATTTTTTAATTTAAAGTCTGTTATTCTATATTATGTTTATTTTATTTTTCAAATAAGGCAGATGGAACTCAAAAATGTATTAATAAACCTCACATTGTGAGTGTTTTAGTGCATTGCGTAGGTACTAAAATTCGAAATTGTATTAAAATAAATCTAGTTTTTATACCAGTCTTAAATTAAATCTAGTGATAAATAAGAAATTAAATTGACACATTAATAATTATATGCTTATACCATTGCACAACGACGACGCTTAAATATTATCAAATATTGTACAATATAACAGCCAATATACAACGCATTGAGGAATCAATTTGAACCATTAGCATAGCAAATTCACTCTTAATCACTACATAGTATAAAACAAAATCGCTGTACGCCGTCTGTCTGTCCCTATGTATGCTTAGATCTTTAAAACTACGCAACGTATTTTGATGGCGTTTTTTTAATAGATAGAGTGAATTTTAAGAAAGGTTTATGTGTATAATACATGCATATTGCACCCGTGCGAAGCCGGGGCGGGTCGCTAGTTACTATATATATGGAGAATAAAGTATTTTCCTTTTCAGATTAAAAACAACGTTAAAAAAATATTTGAGTGTGTAGTTTTGATCTAGAAGAAATGTGCTTTAACTTTTAAGGGCGAATTCGCTATATCAGATTTCAGAATGACGCCTTGATACTTTGCGCTATTTACCCATTCAGAGATGCTAATATGACTAGTAATAAACTTACCTATTTAAAGTAAATAGCAATTTTTGCATAATTGTGACAATTATCGGCTACATATACTATGACTTTAGTATATAGAGATTTTGGGTAGTTTAGAGTCCAATTTATGTCTCCGCTATCCAAAACTCGGTCGTAAAATAGGAACTCAATTCAAAGTCTCTGAAATCTAGTATTAAGTAAGAAAATTGATCTATTTATATTGTTAGTATAAACGCTATACATTTGTGATATTGCAAAGATAAATTAGTTATTAAAGGATCGTATTTAGTCACACAATTAAATAAATTGTCGAATTTATCAATAAAATGAGCTGAAGACCAGATATTGTTGTTTTTATTTTTCTAGTCCCTAATATTTATTTATTTATTTAACACTTCATGTATAACTGTATACAATGGCGGACTTAATGCCGAATGGCATTCTCTACCAGCCAACCATAGTAATACATTTGGTTCAGTAATTTGTGGTTCTACTTCTGTAGAAAAACTGTTTTTGGACGCCGTTTTTCCAAGATGGCGGCACGATCGGCGCATGTACAAAGGTGCAAAATAGAAATCGGAAAAAGCATATCACAATCTACAAAATTGCGAATTTTCAAAACTTCCGGAAAGCTTTCCAGGCGACCCCCATGTATCGGACTAATTATCGTATATTTGATTCTAAAAAGTAAGTTTACCTACATACATTTTTCTTGACGCTCCCGGCTCCAGTGCCTATTTTTCATTCATTTTCTCCTAACTGACTGCCTCGTTGGCTGACTGGTCGCAAGTGCGACTACCGGACAAGAGGTCTCGGGTTCGATTCCTGGGTCGGGCAAAGTATTACTGGGTTTATAAAAAATCTCAGTACCTAGTAGCACGGAGTCTGGAAATGTGCCCGATATCTGGCAATAGGCTTACCCCCTAATACATGGGACTCATAACATAAATAGTGAAAAGTGGGTGTTACTTCTGTGAGCACCTCTGCCTATCGCTTCGGGGATTAAAGGCGTTATGTTATGTAAAAACTCCCACAAAAATATAAGAATTGTCTTTAGGTACTAAAAATATTAAATCTACTTACTGCCTAATATATTAACTTTCCGACTATTTTTGTCTGAATAAAAATGACGATACGAGTATTTTTTTTTTTAAGGGGGGAAAATCATCGAATGACTGCTCCCGCCTGGGTGAGGCGGGAGGGAGTGTCAGACTTACTGACTAAAAACCACCCCGTTCCTTCTCCTGCACGTCGAGCCGGAGCCCCGGTTACCCGTTAGGTTCTCCGCGACACGATACGAGTATACGACCGCATGAGATACTGAAATCTTCCAAAAATAAACATGACTATTTATTGCTATAAAGACTCGTTTAGATGATACAATTTTCTTGTACCTACATTCAAGAGCAATTATTGAATGCAATCATTTAAGTGCATGAATTGCCCTTCAAAAATTGCACTTACAAATTGTTTTCAAGTGGACGTGGATACAAGTAAAAAATTAAACGCAATTATTGAATGAAAGGCATGATGAACAAATAGTTGCAAATGTCTTTTGTTTAGTTTAGACCAATACTGTTTAGGAATATACCTAATAATGTTTAGGAAATTATTGCGTTCAAGTCACGACTTTTCTAAACCGAATTCAAAATTCAAATTCAATTCGAATTTAAAATCCGAATGTTATATGTACGTGGACCATTACTAGCATTCACTGGCGTATTGCTTCAAGTATTGCACGTAGGTATTTATTTGCGTTGTCAAATTTTTCGTACATGTTTTGGAAGGTTTTGATCCATCTTTACATTATTCTCACATGTGTGTACCTGTACAATATTGGAATATGTATCAGAGCAATGTAAAACAGACTTTTTTTTAAAAAGAGTAACGAATGGAGTTTCTTGCTCGTTCTTCTCCACTCGAATCGACATTTTGGAACGAGCGCCTAGCTTCACTGACGGACAGACTGACAGACTATTATATATCTCATATTTGTTGACGTTTCAAAAGTACCAAATTATGGTCTAATTGAAATAAATGCTTTTGAGTTTTGAGTTTGAGTCATCCTATCCATTTTTCATCCAACTCCTCTTTTTACGACAATTTCTCAATATTTCTTGACTTAGAAGAGCAGCAACGATTAACACACCTTCGCTTACTGCACTCATGTTAAATCAAGCAAATCATTGAACGCGAGAATCGCGTAAGAAATTATTGTATGTGTTCTTTGCACCATGAAAATTTTGTGAAGCAAAACTTGCGCAATAGATCAAATGTTACGCCCCACTGTTTAGACCATGTAAGTTAATTATTATTGCTTCAATTTTATTGTATGCAACAGGCAAATACCTTGCATCGTGTAAATGGCGCTTAATGGGTACTTTTTACCAGAATAAATTACGTTCTACTGAAAACTATGCTCTGTAACCAGTGGCGTAGCATATCTTGGCGAGGCCCCGTATAAAAACTTATTTGGGGGTATGATAGGTATACTAAGGACTACATAAAATGCTAATAATTTACGTTAAAACCAGATAGCTTTTCAGGTAAATTATCGGACTCAGCCGTCTGCCCAAATTATCGGACTATGATTACTTTAATTTTTCCAAAGTTTCTGGCTTTGGAATAGCTTTCTCTATTTCATGGTTTTTGTGATCATTGAAATATAAATTGAGAAGTTTTTATATTTTTGCTTACACACGTTGGGGCCCCCCGTAGTCCATATAATTGATACGGCAGATACGGCGCTGGCTGCGCCTCTGTCTGTAACCTAACCTTTGGGTTACCTCTGTTGTCTTGGGAACTTAGTAATTTTGACGGAGGTTCAGTATTCTATTCGGAAGTTTAGTTCTGTTATTCGAAGATCCATTTGTATAGTCAGCCACTGATTGCTGGAGAAGTTCATATCCATTATTATTTCCCATTCATGAATGTTCCACTCTCTTTCTCATTGTTTTAAAATAACCAAATACCAATAATATATCGTATTTTTAACCTTTCTAACTGCACCAAATTTCTATCAACCAATTTCTAAGTGATGAAGAAAAACGGTCCGATTGGCAAGAGAAATTGTGTTTCTTATGAAGAGACCACACAGGATTAAAAGGAAATAACACAAATAAACAACGAACAATGAAATACTTTTAAATCGTTTATTTCAGTTTCATAGTTTACATTCTATAGATAGATAGAAATATTTAATTAGATCAGATCACACAGCTAAGCGGTTGTTTTTAAGTGTACACATTATTATAAATTAATAATTCAACATTCGAATAATTTAACCCTTAACAAGTAACGTTTATAAAGTGTTCCCCAATCATTTCATGGTCGTCGCGCATGCGATCTAACTCAGGTGTTACTCACACTACACGCTAAAGTATTTCTTTACCATCATGTAAAAATATCGATAACATTCAATTAACGCGATAGTTCTTATTCGAGAACAAAAATATTTTTATATTATTATTTTTTATTAGTAAAACTAGATGTCACTTAACATTAGTGTTAGGTAGCGACCTACCGATGGCGTATATGGCAACACTACATCTAAAAATCTCATTCTTTTCTTTTCAATGTGACACGGCAACACCATCGGCGTCCCCACAGATAATAAGTGCGTACTCCCATATAAATAAATACTTAAAATATAACACGTACATTACTCTTTCAATAAATTTCTTATATACTATGTTACATGACAAGCACTTATTACCATCCATTAGGATGTCTATTAATAAAAAGAAATTATATATCTGGCAACACCAGACTGGTTGTAGGACCGCTTTACTTAAAAACATTGAACACAATAGATTGTCCTTTTACAAGTAGAAAGAAAGGCAAGACTTAGATCACAAGGTTTATTAAATAAAGTGGTCGCACAACAAGAAACAATATACCCTCGAAATTGACTTAGATAAGTTATTAAGGCATCGTGTGAATCGCACTAGGTAAATTGACAATTATAAATCTAAAGACTAATACAACAGCCAAAGCGAAATTATATGGCAATTAGCACATAATACATACCTACGTAGTATAGATACAGGGTCTCAATTAGTCAGAACTACACAGTCAATATATATAAATAAAATGATTTCAAAAAGCGAAATTAAATACTTTTAATTAAATACTTTAACACAATTTGTGCATTCACATTTTTTTGTGATTTTCGTTATTTTTTTGTATAAAAATATCGTCAACAAGTTTCTAAGTAACGTTCTAAGGGTTGACATTGACCTTGTGAAAGTTTATGTTGTCAAAGAGGTCGAATAGCACATTGCTCGATGTATCCTTCCTATCAGACGCGACCCAGTCCCTGGCGTTAGCGACTACCGGTAGAATGGTTTTTTCGCTATAAATATAAAAGCACACAAAAATATATTAGTCACATGTTTTTGTTGAACAAGAATCGACTAACTAACGATATAAATCGATTTGGAAATCGATTCTCGGTGATTCACTCGATGGTGGTTATGTTGGCCAGTAGAGAGGAAGCGTTAGGTAGCTGTGCGTGATGTGGTCGTATTTACATGAGCTTCTGTTTGGCGCACTCGGGGCAGATTATGTCAGGTCCGTCAGTGATGAAGCCCTTGCCAACGAGGGAGGTCTTGCACTGGGCGCAGATGAAGCAATCGTTGTGCCAGTGGCGGTCCTCGAATGAGATGAAGCGGGTGCCGCCGATGCCTGGAGAGAAACAACATTATTCATTAGTTACAATTTAAATAGCATCAATTTTGATCCACAAGTTGGTCACTCAAAGGACCTTATAAAGTTGACAAGTATTATCCCAATACTAACCGGTGATGGGCTTGGTGCAGGAAGTGCACCTCTTGGCGAAGAGTTCTCCGAAGCACTCCGCGCAGTAGGGCTTCTCGTCACGCGACGTGAACCGCTGTCCTGCCAGGGAGGTGTTGCAGTTGGTGCAGGTGAAGCACTCGCGATGCCAGGGCTCGTTCTTGTAGGTTACGCCACCTTGCGTGATGATCTGGAAGTAAATGGAGATAGGTTAGTTAAACTAGTTGTAGTAAAAGACGACGGAAGAGGTCATGGTGAAAAAAATCCTTCTTATTTTCTTTTAGATGTAGGTGGACTCAAATCGAAGATTTTTCAATAACGAGAGACTCTTCCAATTAAAACGTCGTTTCACTATAAGTTCTTGAAGTCGGAAGAAGTCAATGCATCTATACATATTTACCTTTCGAAAGCAACACATTTCAAGATTATATTCGTAACTAAAAAACTTTTATCTTTAGATAAGGTTAAATGCTGCTAAAATGAAAGTATGTCAAGAGTGTTCAAGATTCTACCAGCCTATACCTCAGTCATAGCTCATTATCTGACCTAAAACAGGTGAAGGCGGTAGACTTAATGCTCACAATAAAATCGTAATAAACTGATACCACATGGGGGCTATAAACAATTGAACGATTGCTGTGGGCGTACGAGATGTGGGCATTGGATTATACGGGATTTATTGCCGATGATCAGTCATATCCAATAACTGTGTGCCCCAGTTACATGAAGGTCAGATGAGAATAATTGAAAGAAATTAGTACAACAGGTTAAGTGGTGACTGGTGACTAGTCCCGGGGAATCATCAGGAAATTATAATTAGGCTGGACGAAATAATTATCTGTGTTGGGAAAATACGTAATTCAGAATTAGATGAAAATAGAACTTGAAAATCTTCAAAACCTTATCTATCATCATTCAATTTAGATGTTATCGAAATAAAATCTGTGATCAAATGCACAAGCAAAAAACAATGTTGAACTCTATTTGGCCGCTCAAAGATATTTATAGTTTTATTTGTAACAGAATAGTAATGTCCACTGTTCAAAAAGAAATAACTCAAAGCACCTGAACATAAAATAGGAATTTAGTAAAACACAATGAAATAGGCTCACCTTGTTGCACTTGACGCAGCGAGTAGCGAACTTGTCCTCGTAACAACCAGCGCAGTAGATCTCCTGCTCACGAGGGATGAAGCTCCTCGTGCCGATGGGGTTCTTGCAGACCACGCAGCAGAAGCACTTCTCGTGCCACTGCCTTGTCTTGTACTCCATCTTCTTGGTGCCTGGAGAAGGAAAGGGAATTTAGCTCATGTAGCTCGATAAGTAGTTAATGTGGCCATAGAAGTTGTATGTGATTTGATGTTGTCTTTAGGTACGGAAAAGGTTGGTGTTTAAATTGTACAGTAACTTCAAATGTCAAAAATAAAAGTTAAAGTTTATTAACTGTCAAACACCGAACGGTCACCGGTGACCGCAACCTATTGTTCTTTACTTGTGTCTATAATGACGGTACTCAACGAGTTAAAGAAAGACAGTCAAAAGAGTGTTGTGACCCAGCGAGGGTCTGGGTCTGCATCGGCAACGCAAAACAAATACCCGAATCAGAATTCTTTTCTATGACAATGCATTTTTGAAATGAAAACGCAATCTGCATAAAAGTTTCCACTACAGTAATCTAGGCATTATTGACAAACAGTTCAATAACACGTACCTAAGTATGACCTACGACCTCGCTATCGATCTCATGTAAAATATTCACATGGGGTATTATCATGCGATCACAACATTCACGTTGCCGTCGCTTGACGAACCATTCGATACGTTGATAGTGCCGTCCTTGCAACAAAACATTACATTTGCAACGACCCAAGGTTGACATGCCACGGAAGTGACATTAGTGACAGTTCCAAATTCAAAACCCGTCATTCAGCCATTTTATTTTTTGGGGGGAAAGTTTTTAAATTTGAGTTCGAAAAAGTTTTGATGATGCTTTTAGGAAGAATGACGTACATAAATAAATATGGCTTAGTAATTTTTGAGGCTTGAAAATATGACTAAATAATTTTGGTTTCAATTTAAATTCACAACATAATGTATCTGAATTTATTAAGTTTTGATGGGTAGGCAGGTGCCTATTAATTAAAATTAAGTTTCCTTTTTAAAAAATAACGAATTAATTGCTTTACCTGTATAATTTTGTATAGGAAAGTAATTTTAACGATCTATAATTATACTATTGATGGTAACATATTAACATATTGATGGCTTTATTGCTTGTTCATAACACATACTTTAGATGTTTGACGCGAGGTCAAGGTTAATTTGTCCTTTATTTTATATCGCTTAGTCGTTTAAAGTTTTATACAGGTATTGTAAACGTAAACAAAATATTTAACAATTTAAGAGTAGAAATATGAATCTTATCTTGAACATTTCAATTCAAATAAGTGTGTCCCAAAACTCAAATCTTCCTTAGAATGGTTTAAATGGCATGATCTAGGAAAAATATAGATTCCGATTGACAATTGAATATTCATTTACCTCCACTCATTTACATTTAAATGAGGACATTTCATTCACTCCATTTATTAAACGAAATCTTTATGTAAAGCTACCTTTTGAAAAGTCAAACGATAAGTAATTCCTCCCTGCACAAACTTCGCTCGCATTTCCCTGTTAATTATTCCCTCAATTTGAATTACGAACTGGCATGTTCATTCCTTTGTATTTCAATTTAAACTTGGAATGATATCCAAAAAGTTTTCAAGTCATTGTTGAATGAGTTTCCTATCAATCAAAGAGTACCTAAGTAATTTTTTTTAAGTTATGTATCTGTTTCAACTTTGTACTAGTATCTTATAATGAGATATAGTCTTTTATAATGAATCGACCGCAAAATAAATGGAAGCCATTAGTGATAATGTTGATACGTTTTAAACTGTCCAAAGTTTACGCTATCCACGGCTATCAGCGAACAAAACGCACGTTAGTCTTAATCATTACCCACGAGATTGTAAATGAGAAAACTTTTCTAACAGTCACTTATTTATTATCTGTGGAAGAAGTTTAACAACGAGTCTGTCAATCGATTTTAAGTATCTATGCAAAAATTTGAAGTAGGTAAATTTTTGTTTTTTTGTTCAAATATTGCTCATTCGTTATTAAATTATCTATTACTTTCCTCCTTCTGTTACTTTCCTCTGAAAATCCGTAAACAAAGTCTGAGAAAATAGCGTGTCTAGACAAAAACATTTAAAAAGTATCGCGTGTCAGTACAATCGGAAACTATAGCACAATGCTTCGTGACTTGTCTCTGGTTACATCTGCAGTTTGGGGTCTCTGAACTCTAGCATTATCGTATTTCATATCGATTTTGGAACTTGCAATGTTATGGCGTTCATTCTCTATACTTTTGATAGTTTTACGATTTCTGTCTACCTTTGGAGTTTGTTGCTTCTTTCTATTTTACAACTTGATAGCGCTATTGACTCGTTTGTAAGTTTTGCAATATCGTTCCTTTTTCAACTTTTTGTAGTTGTTGAATTAAACTTGTTTTCGTTCCATTTTTGAATTGAATTTGAACAACTATTGTACATTTTGATTGGATAGTTTCATAAATCGTAAATAATGATGATTAACTTTTTTTTAACTACGAATAGTATAGAATGGCAACGGAATTTGAGATAGAGCCTACTTTATTTATCATATTAACATAAAACATGTCTTCCACTTCCATTTCTAGATAGAAGGTGCATCTGCTAGAAGTCTATACATAAGTAATAAAGCTATGAGCACAATACAGTTAAATCGTTCTACTTTTCCATTGTTCGGAGTGAAAGGGCCCTTACGCCCACATCTATCGGCCAGTAATAACTGGGCTGTTTCATTTGCAAATTGTTACAGTTATCTGTGGAATACCTGACCATAGTGTAGGCACGTCTATTCATATTTTGAATATTTGAATTAATTTTGAAATAGCAATCATGTTTAAAAAGGCCCTTATTGCTTTTTGCGTCTGACAGTTGGAGCCATATTGTTTTGATGTCTGATTTATTAAATGTCATAGTCGATCACGTAGAGATTTTTTAATAACGACTTTTTTGTCTTTAGTGACAAAATATAACTGACATTGGTAATGTTTTGTATAAATAGCGCTTTATAAAAACTGGCTGTACTTGTTATTGCACTATTTATTACCATATCCCTTGTGGGAGCCAGTACATCGAGTAATTAATGAAACTCGTTAGCTTAAGTGTCTGTCACCAAGAAAGTTGTTTGCCCCGTTTCTTGTAGCGTGGGATGAAGATATGCTAAACGTATTAATGATATTTTAATCTGCATAGCGTTCAACGGATATCTGTCGGATACTGGCCGAAAAGGAATTGCGACCGTTACGTTTAGCCGTGTTTGACCTCATTTCGATATTCAAATTTGATTTTTTGTAATTCTTTTATTGGATTGTGGGACAAAATTTACGATTTTTTGATTCAGAATGTCGAATGCATTATACGTTTTTATCAATTCAAGACCTAAATGTTCAACTGCTCGCTTAAGCCTTTAACCAATTTATCTAGATTACCTAATTGCCCTCGATTACATGGGACTCATTACGCGACCGAATTTAGAAACAAAAAACATTCATGACCGATTTCATAGGCTCTGGAAAATTACTATTTGTGAAATTTTGAACATAGAACAAAAGTATGAACCATCTGTCATTTAAACTGACAAACACCAAGCGGTCACCGGTGACCGCAACCTATTGTTCTATAATTGTGTCTACAAAACCGGTACTCGACGAGTTAAAATCAGATGGTTCTTAAAAAGAATAAAATTGTCGAATTTAGAACATCTCTCGTTTTTTGAAGCCGGAATAAAAACAAATGAATGCATAATAATATTTACAACTACAAGGCCAAGAACAGAACATTGTCATATTGCATTATGAGCAATGAATGCTTATATTACAGATACGATGCATTGTAAGAACATTGTTTGTCCAACAAATTAGCGTACATCGAGATCAAATACGAACGTGTTCTGAAGGCCACGGGTGATGTCAGTCGGTCAGTGTGGGCTTGGACAAATATTAACAGCTTACAACATAGTTTATTGGACAAAAACACTAGCCTACATTATGTACTAAATGATATAATAATTCCTAAACTATTCGCATAATATTCATATGAATGAATCATTTTACTAAGTAGGTCTACGCCAACGTGGATGCGACAGGATATCTTTAATCTTCGGATTTATCTGTAATACGAATTTTATCGGAATTTGTGCAGTTGTTTTTGAGTTTAGGGTTCATGAACGAACGCTAGCTAAAGCTGCCAATACAAAAATAATGTACCAAAACCTATTTTCCTTATTATCCTATAAAAATGTTCTCAGAACCACTAGTAATCAAATAAGCCTACAAAAAACAGTATAAGGCACAATTCTACCAAATGACATCACCTTCACACCATAAAATTTTGCCACGCGATTTTAATCCATAATAACACCGTAATAATACTTCTGAGACCGTAAAATCGATTAACAGCCTCTTTGGCCACGGTTATGTGACATGGCTGATGGAAAACAGATGATTGTGTGTGAAGATCCCAATTGGTACAAGTACACATGAGTACAATGTACTTTAAAATACTATTGTGTTTCCAGATTTCCAATGTCAATGTTGAATGTCAACATACTCAAGTCTTTGCGATTGGTAATAAGTGTTCTTTCTGTAACACTCATAGCGTGAAAGAAAAAAGGTTTGCTAGATGCAATAAGAATTACCTATTCAAATCTTGAATAGTTCTTTCAAATAAACAGACATTTTGGTTCGGTCCGACTCTAGAAGTATAGAGGTACTTGTCTATTTGTTTAATAAATCAAGCGTCAAAGAAGTCAAGTCATTGTTCCAAATTCGAAATAAATACATCCCTATTACGTATACTCTGTCTCAAAAACTTAATAGAAATACATTATTTGTAATTTACTTATACGCAAGACTTCTTACGAAGTAACATTTAAGACAATCAAATTACAGGTTCACATTGAAAAACGGTGCCCTTTTGATTTTCCTGCTCCTTGAAAATTGAATTCATTATGAAACTTTTCCCTTTGTCCCTTGTTATAAAGGTTCGGTATTCAATGCAATGACGATAACGTTAAATTCGCATTTATTTGTATGAATGGTGTAAAAAAGGGCTTTTTACATTCAGTTTTTATTTTTTTAGGTACCTTTATACCTTTTCCTAGAATATTTTGGTCATAAATCATTTGCTTGGAA